TCATGCCAATGTCATGAACAGCCTGAAAGTTATAAACATGGATGTTCATAGCATGTTACTAGTTACTGGTGTGAAGGTTTCATTTACATCAAAGACGGGGGAGGCCTGGGATCCAGCTTCTGTATACACATGCCTGGCACATGCCTGCTCCTTGATGCATGACAGCCCCTCGTCTGCCACACCTTCACGCCCTGTTCCAGCCGTTTCCTCTGTGCTCCTCGAAAGAGATGTTTTCGCAAGAACCTTCCAGGGCCATGTCTTTCAGGCCCAGCCAGCCCTTGTCTTCAGAGATCAACCTCCATGCGGCTGCGGACCTGACCCCTCTGCTTCCCGAAGCCTCGGATCCCTGGCTCCGGAGGTCCCTGCCGGGCTCCTAGGGGGCACCCCTTACCTGCCTCCCTTCAGCTTTTAGCAGCTTCCGTGCCAGGGAAACTGCCGGTGAAATGTGTTGCCTCTGAGAAGTGAGAAAGTCCCTGAAGAAGCGGTCTGCCAGAAAGACGGCAAAAGGTGTTGTCTTCACTTAGCAGGTGTTTAAATTTTTATGAGACCCACACGTGTGGAAAGTGCAGACTTTCAGATGGTATTTGATACGTAGAGTCACTTGGCTTTCCCAGCTGAGTGGCTGGCGGTGGGTGTGGAGGGTGTGTCTGGTTGAGGGGGGTTGTGGTGCTGGGATTCCGATGGAAGAAACGTCACGTGCCCGTGGGTCCAGCATGGCCCCTGCTGGGAGACTATTTGAAATAGTCATTCAGCTCCCAGAAGTCAGCTCATTCTTGACCTGCCTGTGCATGAGCATAGCTTGGACATATCGCAGGTTCAGTTCTAGACCACTGCAATAAAGTGAGTCTCCCAATAAACAAAGCTGTAGTTGTTTTGCAGGTGGAAGGTCTTGTCTTCAAATCATAAAAAATGCAACATCTTGAAGTGCAATAAAGTAAAGTGCAATAAAACGAGGTATGTCCGTCTCTGTTCTTCTGTCAGCCCGGAGGCTCTCTCTTTTCAGCTGTGTGTACTTCCCACTCACGCTCTCCTCTCAAGGGCTCAGAGGGCATGCTGGGTAAATGAAGTGCTCTCGGTTACACTGGGTTTCCTCCCTCTTCCTTCAAACCTGACACAACAGCCATAGTCTAGAAGTGCCCACGTGGGTTACAAGCTTTCCATGGGAACTTCTCTCCTCCCTCCCTCCCTGCCATCGGTATATTCTGAGCATCTACCATATGCCAGGCCCTGTGCTGGGTGAAGGGTACAAGTGAGCCCGAAGCCACCTTGGGTCTTGGGTCTGGGGGGGCAGGAAGAGGCCCCAAGCGCTCAGTCCAGAACTGTACTTCAGTCCCATGGTAACTGACTTCAGAAGACAGACTTCCTTGGGACCAGTGATGCTCCACCTTGACTGCCCTTGAGAATCACCACAAGGAGCTTTTCCACAGGCTGGTAAAGGGCTCACTTGGCAGCAACTGAATCAGCTCTGGGGGTGAGGGGTGGGCTCAGGCCATGCATTCTACTGCGAGCCAGGGTTGAGAGGCCTGCCCTGGGCCCCCCTCAGGCCCCTTTACACAATCTGTTCACACCCAGTCTCCTGTAACCCACCTTGGTTGGTCCTCATGACTGACAGGAAGTGCTTCTGGACAAGTTATGGAAGTCAACCCTCCCTGAGCAGGGGACTCGCAGGCCACAGACACGACCCCAAAATCCCATGGAAATAATCCTTAATAATTTCCACGATAATTATGTCTCATATTTTGATCATTTTACACCTCTGTAACACAAAATGATCCCCAGAAACAACTTGCAGGGGACCTACTCTCTGCTGTGCGTGGCACTGCCCATGTCGGGGCTCCAGTGCGCCCCACAGGCTGGCTCCTTCAAGGCTGCAGCCAGGGATCTGGGCGCCGGGAGCGAACGCAAGGCTGAGGAGCGAGGCGAGGGAGCAGGCTGAGCCACAGACGTGTGGAGGACGCTGTGGCCACGGGAGGGTGGACGCTGTGTCCACAGCTGGGGGGCTGTTATTTGGCTCCCACTAATTGTGGCCAAGCAGAAACTGAGGACTCATGTTGGCCTCTTCAGATTTTTGTTTATGTGAAATCTCCAGATTTTTCAACATTGAAAGCCAATCAATGTCTAGAAATATTAAAATCTAACAAAACGAAACCACATTGGGCAGTGCAACTCAGACATGTCAACGGATCAGATTTGGTTTCTGAGCCAAAAGGACAGCAAGCACACTGGCCGAGCAGGGCACTGTCCACCTGCGGACGGTCCGCGAGGAGCAGCACCGCTAGTTTCTGCTGCCCCGGGCTGGACTGGTGATGTCAGGGGCGGACAAGCCCTGTAGCGAGCACCCTCTCTGCCTGCTCCGAAACACAGGTATGAAGTTCATGAAGACTTGTGACATGGAGATATCGTTCCCTGGCTCAAGACTGACTGACAATGGCTGCTGATGCATTTTACACAAGACAATGAAACAGCAGGCTCTAATCAAGTGCCTAGACTTCAGCTGTTGAATTTACTAATTCTTCTTCTTCACTCAAATGATTGCTAACTGAGCAGCCATAATCTAGCCAGCAATACATTCACTTACCTAAAAACTGCTACTGAATCTCTGTTTGAGGTGGGCACTGTGACCCAGAAAGGGTGGCAAGCCCTCGCCCTCGTCCACGCTGTCCTCGAGAAGAATAAATTGTCGGTTACAATGCCTCCATTATGTACTGGCGATGAGGGAGGCGGGCTACCCTGGGTTATGGTACAGGAACATGTCACCCACCTTTCTAACTGCTTTCCGGATTACTTGCACTTAAAGCTGTCACAGAACACTGAGAGAAAATCGTTGCATGGTGACGCTGTAAAATACAATTCTGAAATTCCCACAGTAAATGAACAGCAGGCGGTGGGCACTCTGGAGAGAGAGGACAGCTCCCTGCTTTCTTATTACAGGCAAGACAGGCGGAGGGAGAGACCTGGGTCTGTGCTGGGTGCCTGTGCGCTTTTCGAGGGCTCCCATGGATCATGTGGGGGGCTTTACACATCGCTTGAGACAAGGACCGCCGAATATTAATGACAACTTGGAACCAGCAGGAGAGATGAGAACGCCTGGCTCTGACACCCCGAGGAGTGGGCTCCATTCAGGCTAAAGGCTGTGTCCTCCAGTAGGGTCTGGATGGCTGTGTCCCATCCTTCCTGCTCCCAAACGTGGTTTCCTCTGTCCACGGTGGCTCCTGTCCTTCTCCTGGGCTGTCCCGCATCTGAGCCTGTCCTCATGGAGCCACAGAGGCCCTACCTCCTCTGTGCATCCTCCAAAGCCATCGACCTCTGGGCCAGCTTCCGTCCCTTGGAGCTTCTCCTCCAGGAGGCAATCCTGTCCGCTGCAGCCTCCGCTGGACGCTCCTACAGCAGCATGTGCTGAGGGCCAATCCCATGCCCGGTGTGCTATCTACGAATTCGCTCCTTTAGCTCTCACCACAAGCTGGCATAGATGTCCTTCACAGCTGACAATGCAGAGGGTCGGGGAAGTTCAGCAAGAGGTAAGCGACCCCCAGCTCCTAAGGTGCAGGTCTGGAGTCTGACCTTGAAGTGTTTTCCTTCTCTGCTCCTTGCAGACGACCCCCTGCATTCGGGGAGGTGACGGGGACCCTGTGCCAGGCACTGCTGCAGGGGTCTGGAAGGAAGACTGTGAGTGAGCCAGACCAAGTGGGTGCTGCTGGTCATGGGAGTGGCGCCAGCGCATTTTCGATGTGGCTCTTCCTTCAGTGCCCCCTTCGGGAACAGCTGCGCCACAGCACTGTGAAGTATTCATTCTCTCTCAGCATCTGCCTTTATCTGTAATATCTCGATAAACGTGGGATTACCACCCACCATGTAATTACTCCTAGAACCCTACCTCTCGGTATCGGACAAGGTGCCTCTGGCGTGTCCTCGTCGTCTCTCGCCTGGAGTGCTGTGGTAGCGTCCTGCCCGGTGTCCCGGCTCCGCTCTGGCTCCCAGCCCACCCTCCAGAAGACGGCCAGACGGTTCCTTCTATAGATCCAGCTGATCACACCAGTCAGCATTTAGAATCCTTTAGTGGTGAGCATTTGCCTTCAAATAAGTTCCTTTTTTTTTGCTTAGCACTAAAGCCCCTCTGTTGTGGGGTCCCTGCCTTCTTCTCCGGTGTCCCCACTCGCCAGCTGTCCATGTGGAAGGACTTGCGGGTCCTACCTCCAGTTCTGGTCTTTCCCCATGTGGTGGGTTCCTCTTACCTGCCTCTGTTTAATCTCTACCTGTAACCAGCCCCAGTCCCGGAGGGAAGCAGGAGAGACGGGCAAAGAGACTGTTCACGTAGGTGAGGTTCAGGTGTAGAGAAACCACGGGGTGGGGCAGGAGCTGGGGACACAAACACCAGCCCTGGGTCTAGGTGATGGGGAGGAAGCAGTTTCAGAGGCTGTGAGGTTGGGGCCACCTGACAGCACCTCTGACCCTTGGTCACGGTCACATCCAGCCTGCAGTGGCCAAGCAGGGAGGGTGCCAGGGCAGAGACTAACCCACTCATTACTCCCCCTCCTTCCCCTGAGCTCCTCCCAGGCCCCACTGGCTGAACCAGCTGGAAGCCAGAGGTGAGGGCAGAGTGAGGCAGGAAAGAAAGGCGCTGGAGGGCAAAAAGAGTCCCTCAACTGAGCACACTGCTCGCCCTTCAGATCAGCCAGCGCCTGGTCAGGGAGGCCTTGTTGGCCGCCGCACCCTGGGGCTAAGTCGTGTCCCTGTCCGCGCCCCCGGCGGCCTTGAGTGACTGGCCCACTCGGGCGATCAGTGGACATGTGTTGAGCACTCCCATGGGTGTATCTTTTTCCTTTTCCCTGGTGGCCCGTCTCCCCTCCAACGTGGGTAATGAGTTTCACATATTTACACGTTTCTGCCTTTGTCAGCCTTTCCCTGATTTGTTTTCCCAAAAGGAACGAGCCGGCAGCTCCGAGGCCCTCCATGGTTTAGGCTGCAGGGTCTGGAGGGCGAGGCTGTCCCTCCTTCCTCACCCTAGCGATGCTCGTGCGCCCGACGGCCTCGCCTCGGCCACCCAGACGGAAGTAACGACAGCCCCAGCACGTGCTCTGCCCCAGGCCCTGCACTCGGAACTTCCGGCCCACCTGATTTAATCCAGCGCCCCAGCAGGCGATCACTGCCATTTCCGCTTTCCCAAGGAAGGGCCGAGGCTCAGAGAGGCTTCCGCCTGCGCCCAGTGCCACAGATGTACTAAGCGACAGAGCCAGGACTACAGTAAAACCTTCAGGAACTTCATGCATTAAAAATGCTACGGCACCCGCAACCTTCCCAGTTCAAAACACAAACAGCACAGAACACTGACACAAAACAAATGCAGATGGTGGAAGTGAAAGAGTTCCTAAGATGTGTAATTCTAAAGTTCTAGATGCATTTCTCTAAGCTGAACCTCTTTCCTGTTCGTGTGCCCCTCCTCTGCTGTGCCTAAAGCCCCCCGGTGTACCTGTGGAGCCACCAGGCCCTGGGGTGAGAGGGTGCGTCGGGGCGCAGCACTCACTTTCCTGGCCACCAGGCCCACTGCCCAGCCGCCACCGCAAGCGCTCTCGTGGCCAGTGGAGTGGCCTCAGTGTCCCCTGCCTGCTGTAGGTGGCCAGGCTGGTCCATGCAAGTCTGGCTTCGCGTCCCCTCTTGCAGCTGCGGCCTGGGCCTCCCCCAGGGCTGCCTCTGCTCTGTGCTGGCCAGTGAGAGCATCCTGCTCATTCCCAGCACCAGCTCATTCCCAGATCGTTGCACCTTCCGCATTTCCCAGTCACCAGCTGGTCCTGGGGACTGAAAGGGAAAGAGGTACCTACACACAAGGTAGGTCCCGATTGCTAGGAAAAATCTTGAAAGGGAAAAGTTTGGTTGGAGTTTCCGGCAGGAGGCAACACCGCCAGTGGCGGGCTCTGCAGGCTCTGGGAAGAGGCCGTGTCTGAGCGGGTACAGAGAGTGGAGGGCTTCTATGGGGAAGGAAGCGAGGTCAGGGCCCAGGGCCGGTGGGACTCACAGGCCTGGAGGGGAGAGGGAAGGGGGAGGTGAGCTCAAGCCAGTGCATGTGGCCGTGGCCACACGGGATCCTCTGCAGTCTGTCTGAAATTGGCCACTGCCTCGGCATTTTGAGTGTCTTGGTTTTGACTTATATAATTTTCTTTCTAAATATTTGATGCCTGCTTTCTTTAATGCTCTGTTAAGGCCAAACAAATCCTGTCTCCTGTCCTCCCGTAGCTCACAATTGATTTCAGGACGAACGAAGCACTTAGGCTGATTGCTCCAGAGCGGGGCTGCTCCCACACCCAGAGCGGTCTCGTTACCTGGCCAGGCTTCGCCGGCGTGACTCATAACCAGGGGCTTCTGGGCAGGCCGGGCAGAAGGGGGTGGTCGGGACGCTGTGCCCATCCATCCATGGTTCGGTTCCAGCAGGGACGTGTGCACAGCGCCTGTGACAAGCAGCAGAGGAGCACGTCACGCTGCCACGGTGAGGGCACTGTGTTCTTCCTTTCCTGGGTCGGCTTGTCTTTGGCCAGGGAGCAGATGACAGCCGTTCTGTTCCGCGGCGTCAGCCCACTCCTGAGAAGCAGGATGAGGAGGGGGCCTGGGCATGGTCCACTAGGAAGCAGAGCACAAGCTCCTGGGGAGACCCTCTCTCTGGGCTCAGGGGTGGGGTTGCCCTTCGTTTTCTCTCTAGACGTTTCCGTAGGGCCTTCTGGCGGTTTTGTGAATCATAATTGAAAAAAGAAAAAGAAAGTTGTTTTTTTTTCAAATATGCCATTTTGGTCTCCATCTAGTTCTCATTTTAAAAATCAGGTTGTTTGTCCTCTTAGTGAGTTGTAAGAGTTCTCAGTGTCTTCTGCATTCAAGGCCTTTATCAGATATATGATTTGCAAATATTTTCTCCAAGTCTATGGCTTATCTTTTCATATTCTTAACGGTGCCTTTGGAAGCACAAACGTTTTTAATTTTGATGAAGTCCAATTCATCCACTTCTTGTGGGTCATGCTTTTGGTATCCTATCTAAAAATTCCTTGCTTAACCCAAGGTTGTGAAAATTTTCTCCTATGTTCCAGTCTAATGGTTTAATTTTACCTCTGACATTTAAGTTAATTCATGATTCATTTTGAGCTAGCTGTTGTGAGGCAACAGTCTATATCATCATTTTTCACATGGATATCCAGTTATCCTAGCACCACTGTTGAAGAGGCGACCCTGTCCCACTGTGTTCAAAAAACCACTTGATCACAAATGGAAGAGTCTTATTTCTACACTCTCAATTCTGTTCCATCAATCTATACTCCCACCCTCTTAGCAGTATCCCACTGTTTGATTACCGTAGATTTATAGTAAGTTTTGAAACCACAAAGTCTGTCTTCCAACTTTATTCCTCCTTTTTGGCTATTCTGAGTTCTTTGCATTTCCAGGATCAGCTTGTCAATGTCTGCAAAAAAAAACAGCCCCCTGAAATGTTGATAGGAATTGTATTGCATATGTAGATCCATTTGTGGTAAACTGTCATTGTAATAATATTGAATCTTCCACCCACGAACTTGGAATATCTCTCCATTGATTTAGATCAGCAATTTTCAACTGGTGTACTGCAAGAATTTTTAAAACATGAAATTCCTGACCATTAGTCAGGGGCACTGCCCTCTTTTCCCTTAGATTGTTAAAAAAAAAAAAAAAATAGCCAACTCAACAATAGCCATCTGGTGTGAATGATTCAAAATCATACCTTTTTCTTTTTCTGTTATATTGGCAAAAAATATATTTTTGGTGTGCTACAGAATTGTAGTAATGAGTGTATGTGTGCCAAGGAATAAAAAAGGTTGACTATCACTGATTTAAATATTTCTTATCTTTTCTCAGAAATTTAAGAAATAATTTTTAGTATACAAGTCTTGCACTTTTTTGGTTAAATTTGTTCCTAGGAATTTTATTATTTTTGATGCTATTTTGAATGGAATTGTTTTCTTAATTTCATTTTGGATTGTTCATTGCTAGTATATAAAAATACAATTGACTTTTTTATATTGATCTTATATTTGTGAACTTGCTGAACTTGTTTATCAGTTCTAGTAAAATTGTGTTGATTTTGGAAGATTTTTCTACATCTAGGATCATGTTGTTTGTGAATAAAGACAAGTTTTACCTCTTACTTCCAATCTGAATATATATGTGTATATTATAAATATATATACTTAGTTTGTTTTATCTCATTGGCTAAGAAACATCAGTTCAATATTGAATAGAAGTGTTGAAAGTGGACATTCTTACTTGTTTTTATTTTATGGGAAAAGCTTTCAGTCTTTTATCATTAAATATAATATTAGCTATAGGTTTTGTGGTTTTTTTGTAAATGCAATTTATTAGGTTGAGGAAATTTCTCTATTTTTAGTTTGAGTGGATGTTGAATATTTTTCCACATGCTTTTTCTGTGTTTATTGAGATGATCATGTGCTTTTTGTCCTTGTTAATTTTGTCCATTCTAATAAGATGGTATTTTACATTAATTGATATTTGAATATTAAACCAACCTTTGATTCCTGATATAAATATCTGGCTTGGTCATGGTGTGTATATATATTCATCAATACTTTGAAAAATTTTACATCTATCTTCATGAGACAAGTTGGTTTGTAGTTTTCTTATGATGTTTGTCTATTTGGTATTAGGATAATACTAGCTCCTCATTCTCTTCTATTTTCTGAAGAATTTGTGAAGAATTGGCATTATTTCTTCTTTAAGTATGTGATAGAATTCACAATGAAGTCATCTGGTCCTGGGCTTTCTTTGCAGGAAGAGTTTTAATTACTAATTCAATTTATTTGCTCATTGTAATTCTATTCAGATTTTCTATTTCTTTTTGCGTCAGTTTTATTTATTTGTGTTTTTAAAGGGATTTTCCTACTTCATTTAAACTGTCTGGTTTATTGCACAGAATTGTTCATAATATTCCCCTTATTTTCTTGCTGAGTTCTGAAATGATTGCTTTTAGTTTTATTGTCTTTTTGCCAGGCCCCCTCCACCATTGCAGAAGTCACCCCCTTCTCTTCTGGTTTTGATACCACATCCTCACTTCTCGGTGAAGGAGACTCTGTACGGATGACGATTCAGACGCTCAGGTTTCCTTCCGAATGAACCCTGTGCGCGGCCTTTCTTAGTCAGCCTCGTGGCAAAGGCCTCTCCTCCTCCTCTCCAGGTACTTCCTGTCACATCAGTCAGTTTCATTTCCCCAAAGGACTCGCTATCTGAATGCATTCTATCTCTTCAGTCATGTTCTCACGTATTTGTTGTCTGTTGTCTGTTTCTTACTCCACGCCCACCTCAAGCATCCCTGCCAGAGGTTAGTGCCACGGAAGCAGATGCTTCCTCCACGAAACCCACAGCTGCTTGGCACACAGAGGAACCCCACGGACATCCGTTGATGAAGGAGTGAATGAAGGAATAAAGAAAGGGAGGATTATAGGAGGAGATAAGGCCTCAAACGAGGGCACCTGCTTTCCAGAGCAGTGGTTTTCCAGTCTACGGCCCTAACTTCCTAAAGCACACAGGCGTGCCGTCCGGGGGAAACGTATCCACGGAGCTTCACTGCCCATAGCGAGGAAGCAGATACTCACTGCACTTCCAAGTTCGCCTTGCAGTTAGGTCAGGGTCAAGTCACCAGTCCTGGCCAACAGAATGCAATTGGAAGTCAGTAGATTACATCTCTACCACCACCACTCAGCAAGACAGATATTATCCCTCTTTAACGGCAAAGCTGCCGCGTGTCAGAGGTTAAGCACTATGACCAACCTCACTCATCTGATAAGAGATGGAGCCAGATTCCTCTCAAACCATTTCGAAGGATTTGACACCCTCCTGGGTGTTCACTATCCTAGGTGACCTACATGGAAGTAATTTTGTCATTAAGTTATTATAAAAAATTCACATCATAGATGGCTCATTGTGAGTTAGGCGCAGAATCAAAAGCCCATTTCCTCGCCCTTTCTTCGTGTGACTACACATTATGTTTAGCATTAGTGCAGCCCTGGCTAACTATCAAAATGATTTTTATGCTGACTTAATGAAAATTTAGGACAGAGGAGGTAGTTGAGTGCGGAAATGGTTTCATTATGTGATGTTCACGGTTTGCATTGAAGCCTCGCACTGGAGC